TCGAACCGTGCGAGATGCGAAATTCGTGTCCCTGGCAGTCTCCCCCCCTCCCCCACCCCGCCCCCAGCTGTGTGTCAAACCTAAAAGGGATGTTAGCGATCATCTGACTCAGAGCTGGATAGGTATTTAGTTTTTCTCATAGTCCCATCCAAAGGGCAAAAAGAACCAGGTGACATTATTGTTAATGACTTATTTTACCCAATATATGCAAAATATTTCAAAATATACTCAATATTATTCGTAAAATGTTTTGCATCTTTTTTAACCTTTGAAATCTGCTGTGTGTTTTATGCGTACTGGCCACAGTCCACAGTCAAATGGGGCAGCGAGGTGGAGACTCCCCTCTCTGTGAGGGGCAACAGGCCAGCGAGGTGAGGGATGTGAGCCAGGACTGAGCTGGGTCCTCTGATTCCCAGCTATGGGGACTAGTCTATTAGCTTTTTGACGTTTTTAAGGTGAAACTGGAAAGTTTCCCAGCCTCTTACACATTAAAAGTTATATAAAATTATCTCTCTTTTTTTGGTCTTTCTTTTTAAAGCCATCATTTAATGAAGTAGCTTAGGATATGATAGGCCCAAATTAGGGATTCTTCTATTTTCTGGCTGAGAAAAATAGGCATAGAATGTTTGTGTACATTATTCAAAATCACATGCTCTGTCCATCACTGTCAAGCAGACTGACAGGTAATTCAATAAATTAACTCTATGCCAGGCTGAGCTTGACATTAGACATAACGATGTGCAAGGCCCCGTTCATCATATGGGAGAACACCCCGTCGACCTGAGTATGTAATCTTCTATGAAATTTTCTACCCCTGAATGTAATTTCTTTAAACGCCTAAACAGGGATTATGTTTCCAACATGCCTGGTGACACCCAGAGATCTTAACAAGGAGTTTCCCTGCACATGTTTGTAAAATGAATGAATATTTTTCATGCGGCCACAGCATCAATATCTGAAGATTAGGCCATCAAAGTGAGAGACACAATATGAAAGAGGAAGCTACATGAATAAAGACTAAAATGCAGAAGGAAGAGATCTGAACATGAATCAGCTCTGGATTTCACCCTGATGCAATAGCCTGTAATTTGCAAAAGTTAAAAGTGTCATGGTTCTCAGGATGGAAACTCTATTCCGTAAGACTCAACCTCTTTCCCAGAGCTAATTTCCAGCAAACTTACAATCACCATATAAGACAACTTTTTTACTTTATTGTCCTTTTTTTAGCTTCACTGAGATATAATTGACAAATAAAATTGTAAGTTATTTAAATGTACATTGTGGTGATTTAATATACATAGACATTGTGAAAGGATTCCCCCCATAGAGTTAATTAACACAGCCATTATCTCATATAATTAGTGATACCATGTAGTATTTGCCTTTCTCTGTCTGGCTTATTTCACTTAGCATGTTGCTCTCAAGTCCTACCCATTGTTGCAGCAAATGGTTGTAGCAGGATTTCCTTCTTTCTCGTGGCTGAATAATAGTCCATTGTATATATACGTATGCCACAGCTTCTTTATCCATTTATCCATTGCCAGACTTAGGTTGTTGCCAAACTTTGGCAATTGTGAATAATGTTGCAATGAACATGGGAGTGCAGATATGTCTTCGGGATCATGCTTTCGTTTTCTTTGGATATATACCAGGAGTGGGAAGGCTGGATCTTACTTTATTTTCTTGGTAATTATAATTTTTCCTTCCTGATTTATGAAAGATTTTAGAAGGTGTAAAATACAGTTTATACACGCTGTATAACTATCGCTGACATTTCCTTGAGAATCCTTCAAGTTGGGCCTTTGTGTGAGCTTACTTCAACTGTGCCTGCTCTGGCAACCACCTCGTCGTGCCTGTGTTCTGTAGTCCATTAAATAACTGATTAGTCATTCAAAAACTAATTAAGGAGTACCCACAGGGTACAGAGTTCAACCTTCTGTTTCTCTAAGTCCAGCCTCCCATCTATTATAACTTTGCAAAACATTAAATCTTTCAGAGATGAACAAGGCTACACCTTGTTATTATTCTGATACTCGTCATTACAACAATAACATGACTTAGATTTAATGTACACAGCATTTCTTGGTGGAATTATGATTACTGTGCAAATATCAGCTTTTTTTTTTTTTTTTTAATGACCAAAGCCGGAAATAGCTTGAAATGAGACATGAAGATTTCCGTGGGAAGCTTTCCAGTACCTAAACATTTTCTGGCATTGAATAGACTGGACAGACATAATTTAAAGAAAAAATGTTGGTCAGAGAAAAGGAATATTATGACACACAAGGAAGAAAGGCTAAGTAGAAATCTGAAAGTTTGGTGCTGATATTTGATTAAATCTACTTATTTAATAGTTATTCAATACAAATACACACATGGTACATTGCTATACTTTTCTCTCAAGATACTTGAGATCATCTGAGTTGGGGAGATATGCCACCTAAGCTCTATCTTCACCATCTTTATTTACAGAATGCTCCTGAGAAGGCAAGCTACCTATGGTAACTGACTTCATTTCTTGACTTCCTATTCACACCTTAATCCACTGTGCAATCTGGTTTCCTACTCCACCCTCCTGCAAATGCTCTTTACCTGACCAAGTCTAATGACCATATGCATGACATCATGAAATGTCTGCCGCACTTTGACAAGCTGATTCCTCCCTCCTTTAGTTAAATTTCCTATGTATTAACTACTCCAGATTCTCCTTGTATTTCTCACTGGTATTATTTCACTCTCTCTTTCACGAGCTCTCCCCAGCCCACCTCTAAGGAGTCTATCCTTTGTTCAGTGCTCTTCTTCATCTATATTCTCCCCTGGAGAAACTTGCCCAACCTCATGACTTTAAATACCTCCTCTATGCTGATGACTCCCAAATCATTTCCCAGTTCAGATAGCTCCCTTGAGCTTCAAAATCCAACTGCCCATTGGGCACACCCGTCTGGTTTTCTCAGAAATGTTTGGTCACACCACCATCCATATCTAGACACCAAGAAGCGAAAGCCATCTTCAGTTTCTCCCTCTCTTTCACCTCTCAATGCCTGTTGATAAAGCAAGCTCTGCTGGTTCTGTCTTTTATTTATCCCTTCCTTTTCATCTTTATGATCAACCACTTAGTTTTACCCCTTATTGTCACTCACCTGATTATCACATTTCCTTAACTGATCATCCACCCTCTAGTATGGACCCCTCAAAAAACTGCCTCCACACTAACCTGTTTTCTCAAAATTGCAAATCTGACTGAGCCCCATTGTTGTTTAAAATCCTCAATACTCATGATGGCCTAAGGAATAAAATCTAAGATTCTCAGTGTGACATTCCAGGTTCCCATGATCTGGCCCCACCTACTTCCAGCTTCCTCTCTGACTACAGGTCAGTGAACTGTTAACAATTTCCCATATGGACCTTGCTTCCAGCCTCCACATCTTTGCTCAGCCTGTTTCCTCTCCCGAGATGTTTTCTCCCCTGTCCTACACCCATCACCTTCACTTCACTTGGGTCCCTCCCCCACCCCTCCTCTGGTTAGATTAGGTTCCTCCTCTTGGTTCCATGAGGTCGCATAATTGTGCTTACCACATGGAATGAACTCTATGTTTATGTTTAGGTTTCTCCCATTCAACAGAGGGGTTTGGGAACCTGCCTGGGTAGTCTCAGGTTCCCCAGCACTTAGTGTTATGTATGTGCTTCACAAGATGAGCTCTGAATGAATTCATGAATGTACAAATAAATTAGCTAACTAACAAACTTGAAGAGATAATAACAGCATGAGATGTCACAGGGCAATGTGTGATTATGATTCAAACTCTAAAAGCTTAGAGGCAAAGCCATCATATTGGGCAGGAGTAATTGTGGATGGGGGAAAGGACACAATAGAATTGACAAGAGAAAATTCACAAAAGATATGGATGTTGGAAAGCAACTACCATTTGATTCATTAAAAAAAAAAAAAAAAGAGCCAAACCGGTTTGGCTCAGTGGATAGAGCGTCGACCTGTGGACTGAAGGGTCCCGGGTTCGATTCCGGTCAGGGGCATGTCCCTTGGTTGCGGGCACATCCCCAGTAGGAGGTGTGCAGGAGGCTGCTGGTCGATGTTTCTCTCTCATCAATGTTTCTAACTCTCTATCCCTCTCCCTTCCTCTCTGTAAAAAATCAATAAAATATATTTTAAAAAAAAGAAAGTTATCTGAAATTCATTTAGAAAGTATTTTAAGATCAGGATTATTTAGTTAAGAAACAAGAGTGGCTACAAACCCAGGACTCTACTTAACACAATTTCAGGAAGAGGAAAGAAAG